ACAAGGAATGACTATTTCTTGTACTACACATCCCTTAAACATCCACAAATTTAGTGGAAAATAATCAATTTAAGGAATTTATTCTTAAGTAAATTTATTAATTTTATCTCCTTTTTATAATATGATTAAAATGGAAAATGGGTAAGGTAGATACCTATTGGTGATTTTTTGGGTTGGCAAAAATGTTTAGTAATGATTCTCATTGCCAATGCCCACCATGCCAAAGATATTTTTGGGATAATCAATTACCTATCAAAATTTTTGAGCAAATGAAATCCTCTTCCATTACCATACCAATACTTGTGAGAGCCAATTGATACAATTTCTGCATTTGCAAATTGAAGCACTATATAACTTTTAGAAATTATATATATATATAAAGATTTATTTAACTTGTATCCTTAAGACACAGATTAAAAGACACAGATTAAAAGTGTAATTAATGTCTTTTTAATGTTAATTAGTATAGAAAATAACAAAAATTGATATTAATTTTATCACCAATGTTACATGTAATATTTTAATTAGATAATTAATTAAATAAATTTAAATTTTTTTTAATGATAATTAACGCTAAAAAAGTGTTCTTAAACTGTATGTTAATGGCACATATTAGAAAAGCCCATAAAAAAAAAAAAATTCAACCTACAATAGAAATAGTTCAAGTGAAATTGATAGGTCACTCCTTGATCCAAAACCTTTTACTATCTTGCGCTGACTTAAATCCCATCGAACAGCTATCAGCAACACATAACATCTTTACGTTCTACATGAAGGCAATTGGTCTACCACCATGCTTCAACTTTCTTATGAAAAACACAAATGAATTGTCTCGAAGCTTGGAGCCCTGAGGAATACCGTAAGGGAGAAGAGCAATACCATTGCCGTTGTATGGCATAGCAGTACCCACCCCTAAATATGACCCCTGACTATGAAGATGGAATAACTATTATTCCCAACCATACCTAACAATATTAATTGGCTGCAAAGTATGCTGTTTTGCTTCGACAATCTTAGAATAAGTCTGGTTTTCTATAAGCACATCAAAACTAGTTTAACAAAAAGGCAAATAAGAAATTTAGTTCTATATATAAACTATTTGATACATTAGTTCTTCTACATACCACCTGGATACTCTGATAATCCTGGCAATTTACAGCAACTAGGTCGGCAGAACTTTAAGTACGGTCCAGATTCTTAACAACGTAAACAAACAGCTTGACATATTTGGAGGTCAACCCTCTTGTTCTCTTCTATATTTATTCTTCATGATACAAATACAAACCGAGACCAAATCGTGCACATGCCTTGCAGAAAGCTATTTCTTCTGCTGCAGCAACAGGATCCACAATATCACTGTCACTGGATGACACTGTTCCAGTTGCCTCACGGTGTGCCTGTATCAACGTGTCATGTCCACAACTTACAGATTAGAGATGAATTTATACTGAACATTCCATTTCACATTTCAAAGAGATGAATCCTAGCTTGAGAACAACATATTTGATTAAAAAAGAAAAAATAATAATTTACCAAAGGTGCTCTAGGGATGCATCATACCTATCTGACTTTTGGTTGACTGCATAACTTTGAGATGCAAGACTTGATGTTTATAAAAGGTTAAAAATTCTTTGCAGCACATTTTGAATCAGCTTATGTTCACTTATCTGATTAGACCACAGACAAAACTTGCTTATCATAAACTAAGCCATATGATAATATATCTACCAAGCACTGTTCATCAACACCATACCACAAGCATACCCACCAAGCTGAATGTCCTTCATAAACTATTAATTTGAACCTTACCATGATTTCTATTTTCCCAACAAGCATGAAAGAACCAATGCCTAAGTCCCATCACATGCTAAATGTTTGTTTTAAGATAATATGGCCTACCTTATGTCTGCACAACACTGACCTAGTACAATCAATATCAAAACTAACTCTTTCAAATGATGAATAGGGATAATTATAACCAACTTAGTAGGGATGTTCTGTTTCGATTAGTCATTTAAGAGATATCAGAATGCAACTAAAGAAGAAAAACAAGAAATGCAACAAAAGTTTAACAAATAATGAATAGAGTCTGGTGTAAATTTCTCCTCTGAATTCCCAAGTTTATTACTTTAAGCACCTTATATAGAATGAAACAAGGGATAGATCAATTTATCAGATTTGAAGTAGAGGCAAAGAAACTAACTAGCAAGTGTAAGTTCTAGAAATGAACTGATGCAACAAATAGCAAGAGACATGAAATCAATTTGCTTCAACTGCATAGAAAACACAAACTTGAATTGCAGAAAGAAATTATGACTAGCAAGTAGCAAGTAGAAGGAAGCCAACCTCTCCATCAGACCCTCTTACGGTGAGACGAAACACAACAGTGACGCTTCCATTGTCAGAGAAAATAACATCACGTACTTCTCCACACCATCCTGTCAAAAGAAATGGGTTAAAGTTCCCATTTTCAATTCATACTTATATTTTTCGATAATCAAGTACCCAATTCAGAATAATCATTTCAATCTAGTGCCAGAAAAATAGAAGGGGATTGTCTTTGGTCAAAGGACGAACCAGGAGCATAGAAGCTCAACATGCGATTGGCATGATACCTACAAGATAGATCGGAATCGGATCAAATTAGAAAAACTGGGAACATTGGAATCAAATTTAAGAAAGAAAACTGAGGAAGGAAACGAACCAGGGAATGAAGGTGGAAGAAGAAGATCGAGGAGTGGTGATGATGTTATCAGGGATCCGCTTGTTAAGGTCACGGAGGATCTCAACCAGAGGGCGAGTGATGTAGGATGAGTTGGAAGGCGAGAAAGTCTTGTCAAGAGGCACCACATAGTTAGAACTGGGCACTCCCTTCTTGGCATCGCCGCCGCTTCTTTTGCTATTTCCATTGCTATAGGTGGAGTAGACCATGCCGATCGATCTCCGGCGGCCTCCGCAAACAGCTGGTGCGAAGAGAAGGTGGTTGGCGTTGTGGGACGGAGTAGTCCTCCGGCATTGCGGGAGGAAGAAGGTGGTGGACTGAAACTGCAAAGCCATATTGAAATTGAAATTGAAATGTGATGAGAATTCTTCTGAGGGCAGACTGAGTGTCAGGGTAGGGTAGAAAGACCTAGATAGACCCGATCAAACAAGGACACAAACTTATACAAACTTTTAACTTTGAACCAAACTTATTGTATTGTGGCAATGGGGTACGGAAATTAT